TAGCTTTGCGCGAAATTCAAAACAAACAAACAAACTTACGTGCTGGGGCTGCCTATTCACGTTTGTCTTCAAAGTGAGAACTGAAGTGACTCAAATACTACACATAATACTGAAGCCTGAGTCATACCTTTTAAACCCTGTGAAATACTTATATTTTATCTGTCTGAATGGTACTTTAACAGTCCAGTTTTACTTTTCATCTTGATATTCATCTCAGCGTGTCTCAGTAAAAACTTACGTGTTGTTATGTTGAATTGGCCGAATAACTCAAATTCGGAAGAAAAAACTACTACGTCCTTGTGTGCTAATTATTTCAACAATACTGTCGCAGTATTTTTTGTCATTGTGTATTCGACGAAATTTGCAATAATATTTACTATATTGTTGTGTGTTAAACAACACAACAATACTTCTACAAGATTTTACGTCGTCGCGTATTTGAATAATATTGCAACAATATTTATTCTGTTGTGTGCTAAATGCTACAACAATTATTTTTACAACGTTGTGCTATTTGATGACTATTGGAGAACAGTATCCACTACGTTATCGTGCGATATATTGAGCATTACGTTATCAAAAGGATATGGCGTGTTAGTATTTTTAAAATACTACACAAATACCTTCATGAGACTGTATGCTGTAATGTTATGTTTACAGCTATATTAACATCGAATATGTGGTATATTTTTAGTACAGTTTTCTTGTAGTTATTATATGACTGCTTAAACAGATATACAAATATCAACCTTTAATATAACATTTCAGGAATTAATTTGTTGTTTAAGCGAGCTTACATTAGTTTTATGTGAAACTGCTTAAATCTGTGAAATAACATACGTACATATAGAAAGGCAAAGTGTACAGGATTTGACAAACATTTCAAACTGCCAGAACCTTCGGCATTTTATTAGCAACTAGAGTGGGTGTATATACAAAGGTATTATTCCATGATTGGATTTCCTTGTTTGTCTTTTCCTGCAAGCTGGCGACAACTGGCCTTCTGTGGTGAATATTTTTTATGCAGTCTCATACATTTTATGCGATCCTATAAGTCTCACGCACTACAGAAAATTTTAAACAGACGGAAAAGTAAAACAAATAACGTTAAGATTTACAGAAACGCCCGTAATTATTTAAGGCTCTGTTTTACTGTTTATGAGAATGCCAGAACAAACATAAATGGCTTTATTTAGGCTACAGCTTCATGAAAGTAAAAAATTAGTTAGTTTTCATCGGGAATTTTAGTTCAAGTAAGAACTTCGAAATATAAACACTTTTTTTCTGGCAACAGAGAGAGAGAGAGAAAAAAAGAAACGACTACTGTTCATTCCCACACATTCTGAACGGATTAACCTGTGAGGTTTCGTAGGTTTTGGAGAACAGATTTATATTTTGTTTACGAAAACTTCTTCAAATTAGGGTGAAATATTTTCAATTGATCGAAACTTGCTAATTAAGCCCCTTTTTTTTTCGCCCGAACTATGTAGCGTTATTAGTTTTTGGCTCAACATAGCGTACCGCTTTGCTATGTAAATAAACACGATAGGACTACAGCCTTATGGGCGGTGTATAGAGTCTGAATGTAAACGACTACACACAGAATAGTGTTTGAAGACTATAGCTGTAGCGAACTGTACATGTCAAACACGGACCGTTGGAAACAGGGAACTGTTTTATTTAGTCTCGACTAACAGAATAGTGTTTGAAGACTATAGCTGTAGCGAACTGTACATATCAAACACGGGCCGTTGGAGACAGGGAACTGTTTTATTTAGTCTCGACTAAGCACATGAGGTTTTGATAAAAAAAAAGAGTCCAGCAATCTCCGTTCTTTCCTCGGACTTTGCAATTCAGCGTCACGATGTCCAGATTGTTTTGTCCAACTCATGGAAGAAACGTACACTTTCGTCTCTGTAGCCAGCGAGAGGCATTGAAAGGAAAACTTGTTAGGCTGGAAGATTTGGCACTTCATGTAAGTAGGATAGATCAAATATACCTGAAGTGTTTGATATAGATCTCTCAAGGCAACTTTGTACCTAGAAATCTGGATGCTCTCTGGTTATAATAATCTTGCACCCAGCACAGCGTTTTTTAACTTTCGAAGAGAGAATTCCTTGATCCAGGGGTTCACCCCACCCCCCACCTAATGATTCGATAGAAATTATAAATTTTCTCTTTAAAAAATATCAAACATGAACGAAGTTGTTAAGTCATATTTATCACAATGAATAAAATTCTCGCTGGCTATATTGCTTTATCCGGAAAGTTTTAAAAAAGAATATTTCTACATGATGAACCCCCACCCTTTCCCTGAGACCGTCTCGCCGACCCATGTTTGGGGACCACTTTATTGACCTACAATAACAAAGAAATTCTTTGTTGTGGGTTATCAAAGTACTTGTTATATTCTTTAAATATAATTTGAAAGGGCTGTGTCTAAAGCACTGTTGACTATACAGTAATGTTGTACAAAAATCGTACAAGATTTGTATGTGAGCAAGTTGGTTATCAAGATGTAAAGGGGTATTCATATATGTATATATTTTGTAGTGACAGCTGATATTGGTATTAAAAACTTTTATTTAAAAACACAGAAGAAATAGCAATGATGAACTTGTTGTCCACGAAGCATAATCGAAATTGTTGTCAATGGTGCATTGTTGAAATTGTTGTCTATAACGCATTGCTGAAATTATTGTCCATGACGTATTGTTAAATTATTGCTTATAATGTACTGTTGAAATTGTTGTCAATGGTACATTGTTGAAATTGTTGTCCACGATGCCATGATAAAATTGTTGTCCATGACGCATTGTTGAAATGGTTGTCAATGGTGCATTGTTGAAATTGTTGTCCACGATGCAATGATAAAATTGTTGTCCATGACGCATTGTTGAAATTGTTGTCCATGACGCATAATTTGGGAGACATGGAAATGAGAATGGAAAGTCAATTATTCAGTAAAGTGGAAAACCTTCCTTATAATACAGACTTATCCCTACTTTAAAACATTTAGTCGTTAGGCTTGGATCTTAGTGGTTGTGTATACGTTCTCGTTTTAAATGTATATACATATGTGTTTATTTAAAAAAAAATAACACATTTTAAAACAAAGCAGAACTTCAACTTACTACCAGCCTCTTGTATTAACATCTGGATCTTAGTGGTTGCGTATATGTTCTCTCTGCAAGGATGGCCTCCGAGAGCTTATAACGTTAAAATATGGGTTTCGATACCTGGGATGGGCAGAATACACAACGCTCATTGTGTAGATTTGTGCTTAACAACAAATAAAAACATTAAGGGCATAATCGGATGGATAATTCTATATAAATATTTAATATATTTGCTAAGAACTTTGATTTAAACTGTAATTAGTTGTTTGAGAAGCTACTGTCTGTTAATTTATTCATTACTTCGAACCATATTCACCTGTCTGCCTTCGGTCTGTTCCATTTTTTCATCCATTCATATTTCTCATACATCACATAGTCTATCCCTATTTTCAATATTCAGCTACTGTCTGTTAATTTATTCATTACTTCGAACCATATTCACCTGTCTGCCTTCGGTCTGTTCCATTCTTTCATCCATTCATAACAAATGGGTGGAAATTCAAACTGATTTTACAAATAAAAAAATATAGCAAGCTTAGTAAACGGTTGGTTGCAGTGATATTGCTGTCTGTGAACGAAGAAGTAAACAGAAGAACAAAGACTGACTGTTCTGCCTGGCAGATACAAAAGGCATGGTTGAATGTACAAATAAAGCGAAATCAAAACAAATGGGAGCATGAATAGCTATGAATATTGAAAATAGGGATAGACTATGTGATGTATGAGAAAGGTTTCTCTTTTCGTTTCGCCTACACGTCAAATACCTGTTCTTTCATCTACCGTCATAATATCTTCAATCACCTCCACCTTCTAAGCAATACGTCATTCCATTCTGATGGTTAACAGATCCTCAGCAGGTTAATTTATCCGTAAACCAATTCCTCCGTTTGTCAATGTCCCCCGGTGGGGCAGCGGTAAGGCTACGGACTTACAACGCTAAAATCCAGGGTTCGATTCTCTGCGGTGGACACAACAGATAGCCTAATGTGGATTTGCTCTAAAATGAAAAAAAACCGTCTGTCAATCCGGCATTTTATTCGACACTAAATTCCTCTGTTGATCGGAACGTCCTCCTCTGTTGATCGGAACGTCCTTTCCTTCATCTAACTACCGTGTTTTTCGGAATATAAAACGCACCCTTATTTTCAAGACAAAGTTTTCTGGGGGAAAAAAGCTACAGTCGCATTTGAAAGATTTTTATTGAACAAAAATTCAATTTGATACTTTAAAAATTAGTATATATTGTTCTAAACACAAAAGAGCGCAAAATAAGAAAATACCGTAAATC